CAAGCCCCCGTGGTTGAAGAGGACTAAGAGGTAGCTAGTACAGACGTGGACTTGGGCCTGTTAGTGTGTTTGACAGCTTTGTTGTGAGCTATCACTTTACTTTTCCCTGAGATGATGTGAGAAAGAATCGTCAGGCTGTTAACACAGATGAAACCCTTCTGGCTGCACAGTCGCAGACTCCTCCAGACGGACCCGCGGCCTGCACGTGTGGGCCGGGACCACCGAGTGACGTGTGCGGCGAGCAGACGGGGGGAGCAGCTGCCTGAAGGCAGAGCTGGCTTCTGGAAGGTCTGTGCGCCTGGCCCCTGCCCACACTGCCCAGCCGGGCCTCTGATTGCCAGCCCCGTACCCGCACCCGCTCGCACTCAGTCTTGGCGTCGGCCCAGTGGGTGCGACTGCTGCCCCCAGAGGAGCGTAACACTCCATTTCCTTTCTGTCCTCAAGAGCTCCCCGGAGTGGTTTCTCCAGAGTCCCTCACAGACCAGGACTGTTTATTTTATTTTATTTATTTTTTTAATTTTTATTTATTTATGATAGTCACAGAGAGAGAGAGAAAGGCGCAGAGACATAGGCAGAGGGAGAAGCAGGCTCCATGCACCGGGAGCCCGATGTGGGATTCGATCCTGGGTCTCCAGGATCGCGCCCTGGGCCAAAGGCAGGCGCCAAACCGCTGCGCCACCCAGGGATCCCACCAGGACTGTTTAAAAAAGATTTCAAGTGTGTGCATGTGTGCATGCGTGTGTGCAGAGAGGGATTCGGGGTGTTTTTTAGCAGCCTCCTATGTGCTGTGTGAGCCCCACACCTGGCGGCTCCTCATGCTCTGCACCTCAGGTTTGGTGTGTGCGTGTTTGGGTTGGCTTCCCTGGGAGAGCTTGTGTCTCCCATGAGCTGAGTGCTGGCAGTTAGTACTCTTTGCAGAGTCCATGCAGCTGAGTGCTATGTCACTCAGTCCTGAGAACACAGCAGAATGCTGGTGCTTAGTCTAGAGAATAAACCACGTGCTGGTACTTGACCCAGTACCGACTGTGTGCTGCTATGCGCCGAGTCTGACGAAGCCTCCTCTGTGCAGAAGGCTGGGGCGCAGCATGCGCACACCTCCTGGGCCCGTGGGCATGACTGACATGGCCACGTGGGGAACGGGGTGCCTGTCGGGGTAGCTGTGGTCAGCAGTCCTGGGCCCAGCCTGGAGCGCACAGACCTGGCTGTTGTCGAACACCTTCAGGGGTGTAATTGTGATGATGCTCTGGAGTTGTGTGTGTGGGCAGGCAGGCCGTGACTGCGCACTGCGGACACTGTGCTTGTGAGGATGGCGGTCGTCGTCCGTGTTGTGTCCCTGCCCCTGTCATTCTCCGGGGCTTCTCGCCGGACACACAGGACCGGGCACTGGGACTCGCAGTTCTGGACAGTTTCTGGCTTGGAGTCATGCAGCACAAGGGCTGAACCTTGGCTTGAGAGAGTTTAGTTTGGCTGAAGCTCAAGAAACTCGGGGCAAAGGTGGCTGTCACCCAGCCCCCGTTACTGCGACAGCGGGCATCCCGCGGTGTGTGCTAGGGAGACTGCCTGTGCCCCTGGTCCAGGCCAGCGCCTGTCCTGTTGGGCCTGTGAGCGCCAGGACCCTGGGACAGTAATCCTCAGCGGGTCAGGCCGACGTGGAGGGGCCTGTCACCTGGGTCACTGTCCCATGCAGATATGGAGCTGTAGGCCGTCAGAACGTGCTCAGCCATGGGAGCCATGGTGCTTCCAGGGCCCGGTGTTTCTTGCCGCTCGGAGAGTAAATCGCAAGCCTGATGAAAGGACACTGCTCGTCAGAGTGGCCAAGGTAGCAGCTGCTCGCTGTCGGGTGGGTGAGTTCTGGCGTGTTTTATGACATGCACATGCACACGTCTTGTTCCGTGCAGCCAGCGTCTGCATGTCACATCTGTGTTGCCTTCCTGTGGCCCTGTGGCCTCGCCTGGGCGCACTCCCACTCACCATCCTGAGGCTCACTTGCACTCAGTCCTGGGCTGTGGGTGACCTCAGGCCCCTGCAGCCCAGTATTCGGGCGGGAGTCACCCCCACCGCGGCATGCGGGATGGCTGCCTCACCCGCTCCTTTTTTTTTTTTTTCACCCGCTCCTTTAACTGGTGAAGAGGAGGGGACTCTTCACGCCTGTGACAAGTCACCGCAGATCAGGATCCTGCCGAGCCACGGCCCTGTGGTTGCGTCCGTGGGTGAGGCGGTGCGGCGTCCCCCTGACGCACAGAGGCTGCAGCGAGCAGCCTAACTGGGTCCTGCACGGAGCTCCTGCTTGTAGACCCTGTTCTGGGAGCCCTTGATTTCCAGTCTGGAAAGAGATCCCGTGGGACACGATGGGATCTTCCTCGGAATGCTGTGATCTTGGCCTGCTTTGGTGGGCGTCGGCCACCGAGGGCTGTTGAGACGGGGTTCCCTCAGGGCACAGCCACCGGCCTCTCCTTCAGGCATCGGGCTCCTGAGCTGTGAGCTCCCGGTGGTGTGTGTTCTAGAAGCTCATGTGTTGGGAGACCGGGTGGGGTGGTAACAGCATCGTTGAAACTGAGAAGCGGTTGTGGGGGAGTCTGTGGGGGAGGCGGCAGTTGTGGGGGAGGCAGTGGGGGAGGCGGCAGTGGTGTGGTGGCACGCCTTCCCGGCCCTCCCTCGAGGCCTTCCCGGCCGCCCTCCCTTGTGGCCCCCCCTGCGGCCCTCGCGGCCCTCCCTCACAGCCTTCCCAGCAACCCTCCCTCGTGTCTCTCCCTCGTGGCCTTCCCGGCAGCCTTCCCTCGTGGCCCTCCCTCGCAGCCTTCTCTCGGGCCTTGCTGGTGGCTCTGGGCTGCAGGGCTGTCGCGGGGGCCTCTCGGGGGCACAGCCGCGCTGGGCTCTGCACACATGCTCCGTGTAGCCGGGTGACCTGTGTCCCCCGAACAGCGCTGCCCTTGTGGCCTATGTCGCCTGCTTGCTCCCCTGTCCTGCTTGGATGTAAAATTAGTGCTCGTTTGTGGGAAGCTCCATCTGAAACAGAAACGGGGAACCGAACAGGCTGCTGACGTGGGCCGGGAAGGTGCGCCGAGGCGTCTTCGGAGTCCTGGGCCTCTTCTCTGAGCCGTGCATTCGGGCAGATTGTTATGCAAAGCAGTCAGCATCTCTGTGTGACTGGGAAGACAGCTGTTCGTCCTAATGAGGAGTGCTGGCTTTGCCGTCTTTCCGTTGATTGAGACCCACGGAGGGAGCGGAATGTTCCAGATCGGGCAGTGGAGTGCGGCGAGGAGGTACCGCGCTGTCAGCTGGAAGCACATGGTCGGCTGCTCTCGGCGACAAGATAAATGAGTTGGCTGGAGTTGGGCAGAGTCTGAGCTTTTCCAGTGAGCGGTCGTGGCACAGCCGCTTCCCCGTGGGACCGAGGCTGAGGGTGCCTTTCGAGCGAGTGCCCGGCGCCAGCTCTTCCCTTTGATGCCCCACAATACCTGTCAGGATTGTGATTTATTAAAAACCTAATGTCTTTCAGCATTTCATTAACATAAGGTGAGACAGTCTTTTGTGGAGACTTTTTTCATTAATTTAGCCGTGTTCGCGGAAACTTCACTTGGCCACAGCCCCCTGACAAGGCGAGTCTGCGGAGAAGTCCCCCGCGTCTGCACAGCTCGGCCAGAGGGTGAGGTCCTCATAGCCTGTGGGGGCCCCTGCGCCTGCGCCTCTTGTTTCCGGGCCAGCCTGTAGATTGAAACTCGGAGTTGAGGGGTGCCCCCAGGGTGGGCTCTGGCTCACCCCGCCCGGGTCCCTGTGCGGCCCGCGTGGTCCCTCTGCGGTCTCAGTGGGACATTGTCCTCCACGCTCGTCCACCTGTGACAGATGGCAGGAGTTCCTTCTCTTACGGCTATGTAGGAGCCCACTGCCTGTCCACATGTCGCATCTTCCTTCCCCGTGCATCTGCGACGGCTGCTCTTGTGGGGCCTGGGTCTCGGCTACTGGGAATAGTGCTGCAGTGAACGTGGGAGCGCAGGGAGCTCTTCAGGAGGCTGTTTCATTTCCTCGGGATATATGCCCAGGAGTAGGGTTGCTGGGTCATAGGGCAGCCCTATTACCTTCTTGAGGACCCTCCTTACTGTTTTCCAGATTGCCTGCAGCAGCTTGCATTCCCACCAGCAGTGTACAAGGGCTCCCCTTTCTCCACGTCTTTGCCGACATTTGGGTTTTTTCCTTTTTTTTTGATGGTAGGCCTTCTGGTGGGTGTGAGTGGGATCCTGTGGTTTGGTGCATTTCTCTCATGATCGGTAACGTTAATGGGCTTTTTTTTTTTTGCCATTCATAAATCTTCCTGGGAGAAAGGTCTATTTAAATTCTTTGCACCTTTTTTTTTAAAGATTGATTTGCAGGGCAGGGAGAGAGCAAGCGTGCACACGTGCAAGCAGGGGAGGGGCAGAGGGAGAAAGAGAGAATCTCAGGCCGACTCCCTGCGGAGCGCAGGGCCCGATGCAGCTGGATCCCATGCCCTTGAGATCATGACCCGAGCTGATACCAAGAGTCCGTGCCTAACTGACGGAGCCCACCAGGCGCCTTTCTTTATACATTTTTAAGGTAGAGGTGGTGGTAGTGGTTGAGTTGAATAAATTTTTCTCCAGAGTTCTGATTAAACAGAGTTGGTGTGGATTTCTCTCTCCTTAATTTTCTGCTATCAGGTGTGATACTGGCACGTCCTGTCCGATCCGTGTCTTCGGGTAGCTTCTCTTCACTCCATTGCCTGAGGAGGTTGAACAGTACGATGGACTCATTTCTAGTCTGCTGAGGAGAGGCTTGGTTTGCACAAGTTTACCCTCACAGAGAGGTTTAAGCAGGAGGAGCAGTTAGCAGTGACCCCTGTCCGCCTCCACGTCCCCAGCATCCTGTCCGCCTGCCTCGCCGGGGCCTCTGGCAGCGGGACCACGTGCTTGTTACACGGGTGGGGGGAACTCGTGTCTGTACCCTGCAACTCCCTGATGGTCTTCTGAACCTGTGTTCTTTACTCGCAGCACCGTGACATCTGCCGTGTTCACCGTGGGAGATAATGTTGTTTCGGGCAGCGATGACCGCACGGTGAAGGTCTGGGACTTAAGGAATATGAGGTCCCCCATTGCGACTATTCGCACGGACTCTGCCATCAACAGGTGATGAGAGCTGCTTGTTGTGCCTTGAAAAGGGTGCACTGTAATGTGGGGTCTCGTTCGTGTAATGTTAGTGTTTAATAGAGCCTTGGAAAAGTGGTTTAGACTCCTGGGGGAGGATGTTTTGGGGGGAGAGGAACATTCTTATTGATCCTCTAATGCAAATTTAGTTAGGTCCTGTATGCTGACACGTAAGTGTAAAATCAGGCTGGTGCAGTGATCTTCCAGATTAAGAACGGGTCCCCTGTAGGGCCATGCTCGAGTCCCTGTAGTGTAGTGTGTGTATGTTACGTGTGAGTCACGTGGTCTCTGTGCTCTGATGCTGCTGTTGGGTGTTGCCTGCTGGGTTTGCTGGTGTGTTTTGCCTTGAATTGTGAATGGTGTGGAGTCTCCTACAGGATGCTCTGTAAACCGAGACATGCGTGCTGTCACTGTTTTGTATGTAACCCACATTTTTTTAAAGAAGATTTTATTTACTTATTCATGAGAGACAGAGAGAGAGAGAGTCAGAGACACAGGCAGAGGGAGCAGCAGGCTCCACGCAGGGAGCCCGATGTGGAACTCGATCCCGGAACCCGGGTCACACCCTGAGCCGCCGGCAGCCCCTAACCCATGGAACCACCCAGGTGTCCCTGTATGTAACCCAATTTTATCTCTTATTTGCAGGATCAATGTATGTGTTGGCCAAAAAATCATTGCCCTCCCACATGACAACCGACAAGTGAGGTTGTTTGACATGTCAGGTGTGAGGCTAGCGCGGCTCCCCCGAAGCAGCCGGCAGGTAAGTGTGCTCTTGATCCGCATGTTGACATCTCGGAGTCTGTGTCCTAGGTCACCATGGATAGAAACATGCTGCGAGCCCCACATCTGTCTTAAGTTTTTTTTTTTTTTTTTTTAAAGAAAAACTAATTTTAACAAGATGTTAAATTTATGCAGGTAGACAAGGTGATGTAATTCCAACTATAATCAATATAACGATATTAGAGATTTTGTATTCTTGTTTTCCCGCTGTACTTTGGATGCTAGATTTTCATTGGAAAATACTTGATGTGTATTTAGAGCTCATAAAATTTAAAGTTGAAAGTGTTTCCCAACCTGAACTGAGAGTGTCGGTTTTTTTAAAAACTTGAATAAGATTGTTCAGTTCCTCACTCTCAGATTTGAGGGGCTGTTTGCACATGTGGTAGTGGTTTCCACGTGGGAAAGCAGACTTGGATCTTGGCAAGTGAAAGTGTACAACTGGAAGTATGGTAGATGATGAGTATTGAATACGAAGACGCAGAAGTGGTGGTGTGGACTCTGGGGCCCCTTTGGGAAGAGAATTCACTTCACCCACAATCAGGAGACACCTTTCCAACCAGGTCCAGGACCAGAAAATGCAGCTTTCTCGTGAGTCAGCTCAGCTGGTGCGTCGCAGGGAAGCGGGCCGGTGTCCGCGGTGCTGGCTGGACTGCCTGCCAGGTGTCTGCATCCATGCTGGGAGTTGGTTGGTGCTCGGCTCGTGGTGCCAGCTCAGCCCTGCTGATGTGGGATCTCGGAGGGCCATCCGGGCCCCTGTCCTTAAGTAGCTCTGGGGCGGTTTGAAGTGTGGGGAGAGGCGCAAAGTGTGTGAATTACCGGCTCCTCCTTTGGGGAGTGGAGGTCACTGTGATAAAGACACGTCCTCCGGCCGAGCAGCACCTCTGCAGGCTCCGTGCTCTGTGGGGCCCCACCCCACAGCCCCTGTTTTTTTGTCCTTTGGCCTCTGCAGTGTGTCACTGTGACACTGAGCTGTATGGCAAGCCCGTGCCTTCACGTGTCCCCTGACCCTGTGGTCAGCGTGTCTGTGCCCCTCAGCGCCCACCACCCTTGCCACCCTATGGCCGCGGCTCTGCTGACCTTTGTGGGGACACCCTGTCTCATCTTCCTGCACAGCCTCACAGTACAGCCCGCAGGCCAGCTTAGCGGGTGAGGGTGGCTTTAGGAACTGTCTACCTAGGGTGTTTTCAGAGGACGATTTTTGAAGGGGTTCTGTCGACGTGGAGACAGCTTTTATTTTTTTATTTTTTAGAGATTTTATTTTCATGAGAGGCACAGAGAGAGGCAGAGGCACAGGCAGAGGGAGAAGCGGGCTCCATGCAGGGAGCCTGATGTGGGACTCGATCCTGGGACACCAGGATCACGCCCTGAGCCGGAGGCAGATGCTCAAACCACTGAGCCACCTGGGCGTCCTGACACTTTTTCTTTAAGTGGCACCAACCTTTTGTGAAAGGCCTCTCATCTGTTCTCCCCTTTTAGGGCTTCTGTGCGTACTGTTGGAAATGGGTTATTGAACTTTCATTTGAGTACATGTCAGCGAAAACTACTCGTGAAGCTAAGAGTACCTAATAGGAGTGTCACACCCACTAACAGGGAATTTCTCATGCTTGGTACCCGTGGAGAGTCTGGTGTGCCCCCACTGCATCGTTAACACGCTGGATCCCCTTGCGGAGGTGCCCGTGTTCCCCCAGTCTGTGTGCAGCGCGTGAGAGGTGTGCCTGAAACAGGGTTGTCCGTGTGCGGCTTCCTGACTTTGGGAAGATTTTCTTCAAAAAAAAAAAACAAAAAAAAACAAAAAACAAAAACAAAAAAAAAAACACGGAGTTCTAAGAGATGCCTGGTGGTATTTATTCCAGGGAAGTGATTTTATTTTTTCTTTAAGATTTTATTTATCTATTTGGCAGAGAGCATGACATTTTTAGTTATTTGTAAACTTTGAGCCTTGTTGAGACTGCAGAATTTGTTGTGTTTGGATTTGTTCTCAAAGCGTTGTGTTAAGTAGACTAGTCTTTAACATTAGTGAATAGCATGTCCCTGCGTTCTGAGCTGGTAATGCTTCCTCAGATATGCAGACGTGGTTTTCAGTGTCACAGAACCACAGCTGGAAATCCCTGGCTTCTTTCAGCTGCTGGGTTTAAAAAAGAAAACAAAACAACCCTTCTTTGAACTGGTAGTGAGAGTGGAGGTGGCTAACGGCGTAAACTTGTCTTACTTTGGGGAGAGTGTGAGTGACATTTCCCAAAGTGTGTTTGAAGCAAGGTGAGCTCCATAGGGTGCTGGGAGGGACGGAGCGGGGAGGCTCACGTGCAGGTGAATGTGAGATGTGTATGGCGAGGACACAGGCTCCCGTGGTGGGTGTCAGCACCCCTGCTGAGGCTGTGCACTGTGACGAGGGAGGGCGTGGGCTTTGGGAGCCCTCATGCTCACAGAACCTCTTCGGACACGAGCCCCAGGCACGTCGGTGCGTGTTCAGGTGGTCCCCAGGAGACGGGAGGCTGGACTCCAAACCTGACTTGGCTTCCAGCTCTGTCCTGGGTGGGCTGCGCGTGCAGACCCGTGTTCTGGGTGCCAGGGGGTCTCTTTTCCACACCCACTTACTCAGCGCTCATCTCAGGGTTTCTACTGTGAATGCCTTGAAGTGAGTGATCATCTTTCACTGGTTCCTGTGCAGACTCTGGATTTTACTACCAGTTAGTGGATGCGTTGTTCCCTCCTTTTCTTTAGATTCGTAACGAAGAAGTGATAGAAGGTTGCTCTCAACCCTTTGTTATGTGGCCTTGCACTTGCAGTATCTTTATCGTGTGCCCTGTTGTCTCGTGTAGACAGCACTGTTCACATGGGGATGTTTTGCGGAGGGAACTTTGGTGTCATTCTTTGGAATGTTTCTTTTACTTAATAAATTTGTCAGCTTCTCTTAATCCTGGTTCTTGTACTTCATTGTGTGATGCCCTAGTAGCAGCAGCACAGAGCGACCTCGTTAACCTGGAACGTATGCACACGTCTGAAGGCACTGCCCGTGTCTCTGTACACGTACACCACGTACATCATGTTATAAACTTTGCTAATGATTTGCAGTGATTTTTTTTCAACGTCCTGATATTTAGCTGGAATTCTGAAGGTGGCAGGAATTTACTTGAAAAGGCCATTTATTTTATCCTTGTTTTATTTGGTACCAAATATATTTCTCTGGGTCCCTTATTACCTGAGTTAGTTATTTGTTAAAATGGTCTTTGAGGTCTTTAAATGAGTTTTGTGTAATATGTTCCCAAATATTATGTAGCCTCATTAAAAAACTTCAAATTCATCATTTGTTCTTTTTTTCTGACCGTAATCTTACTTATTTTTTTTTTAATGAATCCCAAAATACTTCCGGTGTGCGTCTCCCTGATTTGATTTGATTATCTGTTCTGACGTCCCTTGCATTGTCCCCGCGTGCCCACGGTGCGTCACTGAAGCTCGTTGCCATGCGGACTGAAGCTGCCTGTTCAGTTTTTTCCTTTGAAGTCAGTTGTGTTGAGTGGTGTAGTTGTTAACTTGGCTGAGGCTTTATGGCGTGGATGCTCTGGGAATGACGTACTAACTGTGGTTTGTGTGATTGGAAACAGGGCCACAGAAGAATGGTATGCTGCTCGGCGTGGAGCGAGGACCACCCCATGTGCAATCTGTTCACCTGTGGCTTTGACAGGCAGGCCATTGGCTGGAGCATCAACATCCCTGCATTGTTACAAGAGAAATAAGGTTGCCGGCGTCCTCTGCGGCGTAGTTGGCCATGGACCTGTGGACTGCTGCCGCTTTTCTCATATTGGTCAAGCCCTTTTTGTGAGAGTTGCACCCTGGAAAGGGCGGTTTGTATGTTCTTTTCTCATTGTACCGAGCTTGCATGAAATGTACAGCAAAATGTATGGTCACATGTCTTATTTTCGTCTCGTGTGTGTCGGCACCCTCTGGTCAGTGGACATGAAGCCCCTTCCCTGTAGCACGTCGTGTGTTGTGAGTTCCGGGCGATTGACAGGTGACAGGAGGGCATTACGTTTGCGTGAGTTCAGTGTGAACCTGTGTACTTACTGTGAGGCGTACGCAGTCTGTGGCATTTCTGGAGTAATTAGACATACCTACCTTGTACCGGGACGGGCCCGGGGCTGCGTTTGCAGGGGCTGACGGATGGCAGGCGTGACGGAAGATTTCATGTTTACTTCTGTTTGAGGGTTTCGCATGTGCTGTGTGTAACTCAGCTTCACCTCTGTATTCTGGTATAGTTAATGTAAAATTTACCTGGAATTTAGAAGTTAACAAAAACAATGCCGACTTTGCAATGTTTGGAAAGTTTTTTTGAAAAGAAAACGTTTCTGCTCTTTTTATAGAAAATCATTTCAATCTCCTGAGGTCTCAGTTTAGCAAATTCAAAAATAGGATGATTCTAATCACTGATTTCAGTTATTAAGCAAAATTTAAAGCACTTTAGTTTATAGCTGTGGTTATAAACAGTTTTTAGAAGTTACAAATGAGTTATCCAGTGAATGTGACTTGAGCTTTTAAGAAGACCCTGCCTGCTACCTGAAGACAAAACCTTATTTATTTTATACACTTTGGTTTGCATATTTCTAAATGAGTTCACTTCCTTGGTGGTGTTTGAGAGCCAACAATGCAAATAAATGAGTACTACCTCAAAAATCAATGTATTTGGAAAATGGAGTCTCACTGTTGCCTAGCTAGAGCACTTTTGACTTACAGCTGGAATGCCGAATTCAGTTAGGAGGGCAAGGAGGACAATCACAGCAGGCGCATCCGAGGAGGAAAGCTCTCCCGTTAGCTGACAAGGTGGGAGCCGAAACCATGCTTCACGGGGTACCAAGGTGTTCCTGTTTCAGCAGCTGGGACACCTCTCAGTGCCAGTCCTTTCACTGCCTGGGCGAGCCTGTCACTCTTGCCTTCTTAGGCGTTACTGTCGTCTGGTGTTCGTGAGTTTGTTTCTTGCTCAGTTATGATTTTGATAAAGAGCCATGTCCGTGTACTGCCCTCCTCTTTTTAAGTCTTTGTGTCCACTTGGAGAGGCACAGAAGGTAACAATGACAGCGATCACGGGTGCCCCCCACTCCAGGTGGTGACAGCTGGCGGAGCGCCATTCGGCGAGGTGTGATGTCAGCAGAGCATGCGTGCCGCCCTCGGGCCTGCGTGAACGTGCCTCGCCTCAGGCTCTTCTGCTCAGGTCCTACGTGCGGTAGCTCATCTTAGGAGCTTCAGCCCTGAAGTATTTGGAGTATTCTGAAATGACCTACACAGTCTGGAAGGGAAGAAGGGCCAGGAGAAACCCATCGTGACGTAGTTAGAGCTGAGGTTGCCAGCTAGACCGAATGACAGACAGATGCTTGCGAGCGGCTGTCTTCCCAAAGCCCGGCACCTGCCCACGTCACATTGGGAACGTGGGCTGGAACATCTGTGTCCTACCCCCGCTGACCCGAGTGCCCCCTCCCCCGCGGCGGCGCCCCAGCGGCTTTGAGACAGTAAGCTGAGCGTCCATGCTTTTGGGCTCCTGTTGGATTTTAATTTGAATGTCTGGGTATCTTAGAATCATTGTCAGGAACACTGAAAAAGGTAAACAAGCAGATCAAACTTAAGAACCAGATCTCTGCCAGATTAAAAACATTTGAAGCTTTTAACTCACTTTCTGATGTTCATTCAGTGCTCTGCGACCCAGCGCCCTCCGCGCGGCGCCTGCCCGGCAGCTGCTCACCTCCTCCCAACTCTGCCCTCCCCTCCCCATGGCGGGCCTTGTCGTGTGCGCGCCAGTTCCCAGGACAGGGCACCTGCTGCTCACCTGCGCGGCGGCCATTCAGCTGCTGCTGCGGCCTTCGTGGCGGTGTCGTCCGGAGTCCCGGAGATTTGGGTTAGGGAGTGCGTGTGTGTGCGTGTGTGTGAATGTGTGGGAGTCTGTGCGCAGAGGTACCTGTGTGGCTCAGATTAAGTCCCGTGATCAGCCACACGCGATCTCATCTGAAATAGTGTTTGGAAATGGGAGTGGTTTTGTCTTATATGCTCACGTGTCCAGAATTTCATTTAATAATGGAAGGAAAATGTGTGGTTACTGGAAAATGTGTACTGATAGAGAATTTCATAAGAACTATGTTGTTGGACAAAACAGCACTCTTTCTCAACCACTGCACATCAGTTTCTGGAGAGACAAAAATTCTGTACATATTTTGGAATTTGAAGAATCCTATGTAAATCATTTGTTGCTTAAATCTGTGAAATACAAGTTTCTTTGGGGGAGTATGCATTTATAAATGTTGTGTAGAAGCAAGTGTTTTTATTGTATTAATGTAATTGTTTTTAAGTGTTGAGTGTCTTCATTGCAATATGAAATTCATTAAAAATCCATGTTCCATAATCACTGTTGTAAAAGTTTTATTTTATCAGGAGTCTCTTTTTTTTTAAATATTTATTTTCAAAAATGTTTTGCTTTGGTTAAATATCGGTAATGGCTGCTAAACACCACAGTGATGTAGGAGTCAAATTATAGTATTGCCCACTTGAAAAGTTGTGACTTTAGACTTAAAAAAAGATGAGTTTTGTTCTATTTCCTGTCTGTCCGTCAGGCTAACGTGAAGTGACAGGTAATTACGCTTCTCCATTCCAGCATTACCACACCGGCCATTTCTGGAGGGAGTTAATGATTTGATACAATAATGCAGGTGCGGCATTGTCCAGGTTCCTGAGTTTTGGGAGACGCTTGTCTTGTTCTTTTTTTTTTTTTTTTTTTTTTGCTTGTCTTGTTCTTAACGACAGTTAAGCTTATTTGAAAGTTTGAGAAAACTGCAGTTACAGGAAGTAGGCCGTGTTCACCCCCGTGGAGACCGCACATCTGGATTGGCCCTTCCTTCTTACCCCGTGGGCGAGGCGTGGCGGCGGGTGCGGGAACCTCGGGAGGTGTCTGTACGTCTCTGCCTGCGGCGCCCCCTCTTCAGACTGATCGGGCTCGCTGCCTTCGTTCAGTCCCCAGATTACTTCTCTTTCTTACCTTAGAACATGTGATGGTTGTCCAGGTTTCACAGTTACATGTAGAAGTTTACCTATTAGTATAAAGAGTTACAGAGGTAGGGCTCCTGGCTGGCTCTGTTGGAAGAGTGTGCGACTTTTGATCTTGGGGTCATGAGTTTGAGCCCCACGTTGGGTGCAGAGATTACTTAAATATTTTAAAAATCACAAAGGCAAAACTTCTGTTGCTGTAATTTAATCAGAATGCCTCTAAAATGTGTCTCGCTTACTATGCATAGATTTTTCTGGTTTCTCTTAATTAATAGGTTACTTCAGAAAATGAGAACACCTCGATTGTTCTATGTCATGGTAGAATGGTCCGTGTGGTGGGAAGAAGCTGAGAATGAAATCACATGCAAGTGTTGAGTAGTTTGTTTTATTTTATTTATTTATTTTTAAAAGATTTTATTTATTCATGAGAAACAGAGAGAGGCAGAGAACCAGGCAGAGGGAGAAGCAGGCTCCATGCAGGGAGCCTGACGTGGGACTTGATCCCGGGACTCCAGGATCACGCCCTGAGCCAAAGGCAGGCGCTAACCGCTGAGCCACCCGGGCTGCCCCTGTTGAGTAGTTGAAAGCTAATTTTATGGGAACATTTTAAAGCGTTTTAGTCACAAATTAGATTAGGCAGCTCGGCGGCTGTGGGAGCTGTGTGAGGTGCAGGTGATGCCGGTGGGCTTTGTGGGTTCAGGAGTGTCCCCGCCGGGAAACAGGGCCCCTAGCACTCGACACTGCGCCCCTCGCCCTGACGCGGGCTGTGGAGCGGAAGTCGGGGTGTCTGCAGTTGCTTTGAGCTGCGGGGGGCCGGGAGGAAGGAGCCAGGCCCGTGAGCTCACGACGCCCTCTCTCAGGGGTAGGGTCTGGTGAACAAGGGTGGTTCTCCCCAGAACTCGGGGTGCTGAAGGGATGACAGTCACGGGGGTGGGGTGGTGCTTTCGAAATGGGCTAATGCCGACAGAGACCTATGGGCTGCAGCGTCCGGATGGAGGGGCTTCAGTTTCTATTTGTCTTAAATACACAGAGTAGGACTTCGAGGGTCACCACAAAGAAGAAAAGAAGGAATGACTACAAGTGATTACTGTAAGGGGGTTGGGAAGTGTAGTAAGTAAGAACTGGAACAGGAGTAGTTTTTTAGTAGTTTTTTTAATAGGTGTAAAATTTTGGAACCATCGCAGTCTATCACCCAGTATTTGAAAATTTCCCGCATGATGCTAACGACAAAGACAAAAGGTGCCGAGTGGGGGACATCCGACAGATGAAATCACCCATGGAAAGACTTAAAAACTTCAATAAAGACATTGAAAGTGGTAAAGTGAGAGACCGCTGTGCACCAACAGGAAGAGGCAATGTTGTAAATACGTCAGTTTTCCCCATGTTGACAAGATGATTTGATGCTATTTCAATGCAAATCACTCCTGAGTTTTTTTTTTTTTTTAGAGTTGGGCCTCTGATTCCTAAAGTTATGTGAGGCAAAGGGCAGGGATGATGAGGTGCCGAGGAAACGAGGGGGAAGGGGGGAACCGGGGTGCCCCTTGAGCCTGGCAGGGCTGTGGCAGGTGGTGTGCGGGATTCGCTTGGGACGGAGGAGTTGACCAGCGAGGCGGGACACACGTCATGGTGATTCAAGCTTCTCTGAAAACAGCACGTGTTTAAAGTCACACGGAACAGAAATGAATTGGGTGCTGCCTCACACCAAACACAGTTCGGGCCGCATGTGAAATAAAAAGCATTAGCCCAAAATCTAGAGCACATTTATACGACGTTGTGTTTGTTAGCTCTCCACAGACGATGTGTTAACCATACTGGGAAAGATGGACACGTTCAGCGACGTTCAGGGTACAGGTTCGTAGCCGTGTAGGACTAGGACAGCCTCGAAGAGGCGAAATGACAAACCGCAGGTGGTCGTGGCCGCGTTCGTAATCCACGGAATTCCACATTCCCACCAGAGAGTCGGGACTGGGCGGCAGGTGTGATTAGGTGTGTCACCAGGGGGAAACCTTGGATAGTCGACAATGAAATAAATGTAGAAATTAAAAGTTAAGGCAAAATGGAAATGCCATTTCACAACTATTAGATTTGGGAAGGAAGCTCTGCGACGTGGGTTCTGTTGGGACCTACACGTACTGGCTGGGATATAAAATAGGACAGCAAACGGGAAAGCACGATGTGAGCGGTCGTGCGAGTGCCCTGGGCCCCTGCTGCCCGAGGGGTCTGTGGGCACCCTGCTTGTGAAGCGGGGTGGGTGGGCCCTGTGCACACGGGAGCAGCTGACCCAGGCCGGGGGTGGACGCCGGGGACCCGAGAGTCACAGAGGACCTGTGCCCTGGGGCTGTCCCGGAGCTCAAGCCAGCCCTGCTCCACACAGTTAGGTCCTGTGTGTGGAACACGGGAGAGCAAACTCCCGTCGTGGCGTGGGCGTTGGTCTCTGGCGGCGTGGCCAGCTTGCACACGCACGGCCCACGCGTCTGTAAGGCGTCGTACGGCTCTTCTGTTCACGGGGCTACGTTATGCAGTTGAAGTGTCCTACAGAAAACGCTAAAGAGGAGGTGCTGTTGCAAGGGTGGGTGAGGGCGATCAAATCGGGGAACTGAGAGAGATTTTTGCCCGTGTCAAGGTCGGGCTTCTTGCTTACCCGTATTTTACTCACTTCACACCCTCGTCTCTCTTCCACTTACAAACACGCAGCTGTGTTTTTCTGCGATGACCGATTCCTCAGCGTGTATGTTCCGTGGGAGGGAAGACAAAGCCAATTTTGTTCCAAGATAATGTTCTCGGAAAAAATACCCACCAAGGAAATTGTCAAAAGGTGGCAGCGTTCCACGGTGTCGAAATTGTGTTGTTTCAAATACATTTCGGAAATCCCAGCTTTGAAGTGGGAAATGCAATAAGCATTTCATTTACCAGGTGTGATCATAAAGCAATAAAAGTAGCTTTCTTATGTTGCTCATAAATTGGGACTGAAGTAATTTCAAATCCAGGAGACGGTCCAAAAACTATATTGTGTAAATGGCCACACACCAGAACAAGCACGTTTATTCTCACAGTCTGTGTTTTGGTGGAAGCAGCGCTTATTTGTCCAGGTGGGTAAGTTGTGGTATATCTGCTAAAAAATATAATCATTTTTTCTACAGTGCATGTGTGTTACAGAGGTCTTGTAGCTCTGAATTAATTTTCAATAAATAAAAATAAAATCGGGATGCCTGAAGTGGCTCAAGTCCGTTGGGCGCTCGACTCTTGGTTTCAGCTCGGGTCCTGATCTCGGGGTCATGAGCTGGAGCCCTGCCCGGGTCAGGCTCCGCGCTCAGCTTGGCTCCTCCCCCCCCCCCCCCCACCAGATAAATAAGATGAAGAATAAAAATCTTGGGGTAAAGTCTATTTTTTCTTTTGCAGGGACAAAAGTAGTTGTAGATGTTCTGTAATCAACCCCTAAGTGTTACATGAAGCTGATGTGATTTTCTCTTAACAGCGGCTTCATTGCAGGATAACTGATGCGACGCCCACCGAGCACACGTACAGTGTAAAATGCGGTAGGTTGTGACGTATTCGGCCACGAGGTCGCCAGCGGTCACCGTCCGCTCCGCCCCCCGGGCCCCGTCTTCGGGGTCCGCCGGTCCGCTTTCTGTCGCTAAAGGATGATTTGTATTTTCTAGCATCTCGGAGTAGTTCACTCGCAGCGTGGGCCCTGATTGTTGTCCCTGTCCACCAGAGCCGTGGGGGCCTAGGCCCTGTCTGGTCGTTACCGAGCGTTGCAACAGATGCCCGCGCCCTGTGTGCGTCCCATGTGCACCCCACATCCCTTACGGGCCGGCCGCACACCGGCAGAGGGGCCCGCCGGAGACTTCTGGTTTCTGCCCTGACCCGTCAAGAGCCCGGGAGTCCCGCCCTCCCCCCGTCTTCCTTCTTAATGACAAAAAAGGCGGACAGACTCCCGTCCAGGCCCCTCAGATCTGTCAGAGACTTGAGGTCGGGGCCGGGGACACAGGCAGAGGCCGAGAGTCACCGTGTGGAGCGCAGGCTGTGCAGCAGGAGTCGGGGTGCTGAGGACGGGCTTGCTCCCACGGCGAGGATCAGAGGGCCCCCCTTGCGCCTGGGGGGCTGTGGGCAGCATAGCGCCTCTAGGTTCGCCGCCAAGCCGAGCGGCCTCCAGCAGGGACACCGGCTCCTGAGGGAAAGGCCTCCCGGAGCCACCGCCTGTCCCACAGAGGGGACGGCGGCCGAGAAGTGCTTGAGGTCCCCGCCCAGGGCTCAGGCCCCTGTGAAGTGGCAGTGGGTGCAGTGGGAGGCAGCTGCGGTAACGGGGCCGCCGTGGGAGGACAGTGGGGACGGTGAGCGGGGCACCTGTAGAAGTACTGG